TCTCTCTCTCTCTCTCTCTCTCTCTCTCTCTCTCTCTCTCTCTCTCTCCCCCTCTCTTTATGTTACAAGCTTCTCTAAAACCTTTTCTTCCTCTTTCTGTCCGTTGCTTAAACAATCAATCACTGGAATAGAATTACAAATTCCTAAAAAAAATCTGTAATCCGTAATCTAAAGATAAATCAAGATTGTATCGCTATTTCCTTAACTGTAACATCTTTCCAGTGAGATCTTATATTGACGGGTGGAATGTACCATCAACTTCACGATCAAAGTTCAATTTATGATCGATGACGTTGGTTACTTACGCACATCGGCCATGGATGATAACAGAATGATTTTGTAAATTAAACTGTAGACAGAAGAATGTGGAATGAAAAAAAAAACAAGAGAACTGGATAGAAAAGTCATCAATAAAATCGCGTTTGCATTATGATAGATTGATGCTTGTCACTTCTCTACATGTTCGAGTAATATGATTTATCGATTCCGATTCTTTCTTTTGGGAACAAAATTAAATACTAGCTAATTGATTAATTCGCCGATGTACATACAAAACGCCTTGATGATCGGTCGGAACTGAGTGCCGTTATGCGCGAAATATCATGCCAAACGATACGCGGTTTTTATTACAGCAGAGAGTTCGTTAACAGCAACAGTACGATATTATTAACCCGTTAATAATAGTCCATTCATGCGCGCATGATTAATCATATTTTTATGCACGTTGCAAAGCGAGGGAGAAATGTTCGTCGTCTACTTTTATAATTACGCACTTGTTAGGTCCGCTTCAAAATAAGCTAATTTTTGAGCGGTAAATTCATCGAGAAATTAATAAAGAAATAAATAGTCGAAAGTCCGAGAACAAAAAATCTCACGGGAAACACAATAATCGCTACGCGAGGAACATTGACGAGCACATAATCAGAGACCGATGTCCTTGCGTCGCAGTCTATGCTTTCGCACGCAACGAGTTAATGAGGCTAAATTAGAATAAATAAGGATCGCGTGATCAGGAGTCAACAGACGGACGTATTAAAATACGAATCGCTGGAATGAAGGCGAGTGTTTCCGCAGCCGCTTTTAACTTCCCCCCATACGGAGGTGTACGACCTGCCGGAATGAATCCTCGAATCGCTGGGCTCCCCCTGGAAACACGTGGTGAACTGGACCACGAGGACGCGTCTCGGTACCGTTAAGAACGGAGTCGGCAAAAAGCGAGCCGTGACCAAACCAGGCATATATACACGTTCGGTGCACACTGCTCGTTACGAATTTTCTGCTGAATTCGCGCGCAAAAAAATCGCGCGCTAAGTACTTACACATGCAAAACGTTCCTCGCATCTGGAGTTGACTTTTCTTTGCGAAATGCTCACCTACAGTCTTATAATAATTAAATAATTACTTAAATAAATAATTAAAATTTCTGAAAACACCGAGCTCGTTTAGATTCAAGGGAATGATTAGGTAAACACGTGCAGCCTTGATTACGCAGCTTTGATTGATTTATTACAAAAAAAATCTCGGTCAATTCAACTTAATTATTCATAATTCACCGTGCGCAGCGTGATATGTTATTATCCGCGCGCAAATAGCCAATTAAAACGAAGAAATCGTATTTCGCGATAGCGATAAGTCTCATTAATGTGCGTAATGTCACGACGTTGAACGACGTAATCGATTCGACGTTGTGTCTCTTTGAACCCGAGAAACCCGGCATGCCGAATCTAGCACACACGAGCGCGAGACATTTTGCAACGCGGCGGCGCGCGATTACGAAACCGAGAAGGATGCGGGCCATAAAAGAAAAGATGCGGAGGGGAAAAAATAGGCGCATGTTATCATAATAATAATAATTACAACCTGCCGTGTAATAACGTTGCGACGATCCAGGGCCGGAAAGTCAAGGACTAGAAATCTCGCACCGGAAAGTGAGTCAGCGACGCGATGCAGACGGGGGAGACAGGGAAAAATCCACGAGACAAACCTTGCACAACGGGAGAGGGGGAGGGGAGAAGGAAGAAGGAGGAACGAGAACGAAAGTGTAGCCGTCGTCGCGGTGGATTAAACGTAGGCCGGTCGACGGTCGGTGGAAAATCGGTGGATTAAACGCAGGCCGGAGGCTAGTGGATGGCCGGTGGAGTAATCAGTGATGGATGGGCTGAAAAATTCAAAAACTGATTTCTCAATTTTAGAATGAGACTTCACATTTTGCGCCAAACCATTTTCGACATTTGGACTGAATATAGTCCATCAGTAAGATTTGATGCTATATTTACTTATATTCTGCAAAAGTTTGGTGACATTTTATTACCGAATGATGCTTTAAGAAGTATAAAAACAACCATAAGAAGCATTTGTCTATTTACTGCTTTTATGACTTAAATTTGAACTTAAGGAAAAAGGACCAAAATATCAATGGTCGAGACATCGTGTCAACAGTATCTAAATAATAAATGTAGCCAGTTGGATCGAATAAAATATCAATTAAAAGTTTATCGTTTTTTTTTAATATTTAATGTAATTTTTTATTTTTACAGTTATATATCGAAAGAACACACACACACAAATTGTAATAATTTTAAGTGTTATTACAATAATTTTTCTTGAATAGATTGTTTAAAAAGGCGTGTTATTTTGGCACAGGAATTAAAACCTCCTAAATTACTGAAATATCACTGTGCGTCGCGGAGAAAATCCGGGCGAACGATTTAACGCTCCGGCGAACAAATCGACGCGGGAGCCATGCGAGCGGATTATCGCGGTGGGTAGATACATGTAGGTAGGTACATACCAGGATCGGGAATGCGAACACGTGAAATTCCTCGCGAAATGATACTGCGGTTACACCGCGAGAATCGTCGCGAACAACTTTCCATGGCTCGCGCGAACGCTCGCGCGTGATAAATGCGACTACGCGCGCGCCACGATCGAGAGACAAATGCTGCGTAAGTGACGGACGATGCGACGAAGAAACGAAGGAGCGCATATGTTAAGAATAGGAATGTCCAGACAGCGAATTAATTTATCATTCGTTAATGCTGATCGTCGCAATTGATTTTCTATTAGATATTTGCTCGACGATCAGACAAATTGATTATTGATCTTACCGATACGTCGGCGATTCTCTGCTGTTACTTAAATCGCGCTCAAGGAGTATACTTAACGTGGGAATTTACTCGTCTGTTTCGTGTGTGTTGCAGATGCCCTCGAGATCGCGGTGTTGCCGAAACCACGTCTGAATAAACGAGTCGTAAGTGACCGATTAAAATACTCTATCGATTGCATGACACTTGGGGAGGAGGCTAAATACGTAATTTCTCATGACCATATTTCATCACGATTATTATGATTAATATCTGATTAACAATGATTTATCGTGGATTATTAATTAGAGCCGATAAAATAAAATTTTGCTGTTGCATGCGAGATAAATGGATATGTGTACTGACCGACTTTCCGCAATTAACTGCCATGTTTGTATTTGCAATTAGCATCGTCAATGTCTTTCGCAAAACGTAAACACCTTGACGTAACTTAAAATGAACGTTTCTCGCAAATGAAAGGACGTAACTTTTCGTCATTGTTACTTTCGATTATACAAACGTGCGAGTCTCTTTCTTTTCTAAGAAGCCAAGACTGTTAAGCTTGAAAAAAGCTTTCACGCGTCAGCTACCCGTACCGCGTGGCACATCCGTACACCACACACCATGCCACTTTCATGCGAAAGCCTCGTTCGTAGAATTACAGGAAGTAGCTCTTCGCAAACCTCACACACACGCGTAACATACGTATTGGTTACACAAAGCGTGGACGCATATCCGAAGCCCGGGATAGCGGATCGTCCCCCGAGATTTCGAGCCCATTGGCCATGACCTGCCTCTACCCACGCGATCGCGTAAAACATGTCTTACATTGCCGTGCGTAGATCTCGAGGGCCATTACATTCATTCGAAGATTAAAACGCCGGAAAACGCAAACCATGTGCTCTTGTTTCGATAAAATCACAAATTATTTCAGATCTTTCGTGCAAAAAATATAATGCTTTGCGAGCCTTAACATAAAAGATAACGTTACATTTTTCGTATTATTCTTCTTTCGAATTTTTATTCTCCCGACGGTAAAAATTGGAAAAAGGAAAAACTTGTCGACATTTTTACATGACAAATTTAATATTAAAAGTTTTTTTTTAGAATCAAAATTATGCATTGGATATTTGAAACAAAAAAAGGCTTTCTATTTTATTATTGCTTAGTCATCGCGTATCTATTAGCTGATACGTGATATTTGTGCAATATGTATTTTCTGTTAATATACTAATCTAATTTGCTCTACTAATTTTTTTCATTAATTACGCGGTACCGATCGTTAATCACGAGGTGAGAGCGCGTGATTTCGAGCCCGATTACGCAACAGTGAGAAACCGAGGTATCGGCTTATCGGTGTATCTTCAACAAGCACAATAAAATCCATTATTTGCTTTTATCTCATTGATAGCGAGGGACATTTATTTCAATCCCGCGGTCAGAGTTATTAACGCACCGCAAGAATTGCACCGTCGAATCGCGCATGCAGCCGGCCAATTAACGCGATTACGATCGGTCATGCGAGTTCAATGCACGTCGTTGCGCGATCGCGGCGCGCGAACCATCGCCTTTCTTTCCTTCTTTTACTCGGCTGTTTATAGTTGGAAATGACGTCACCGTTATGCGGACACCGCCGGACAGTATGCAAAATAATGCAAATGACATGCCGAAACTGCTCGCCCTCCGTCTTCCTATGTATAGAACCGCCTGTCGTAGCGGTTTAGCGTTCCAAAGAGGTATTCGAAACGGTGAAAAAGAGGCTTGCTCGACTGATAAATTTTCTTCGTTCAGCCCGACACGACGATCCTACCTCGCTCTAGGCGGTTAGTTACAGAACGGCTGGAATAGCTATCTTAATATGCGCGAACTTCGACATTTACATTTTTTTTATTTGTACATAATTATATTTCACATATTGGTCGAAGGAAAGTATTTTTCCTGGAACTATATAATCAGCAAAAAAGATTTGTAAACTAATTTTTTTACCTAATTAATAATTTAATCGATTGTACTGGCAATGATTATAATCCTGGCAACGATTATAATCGTCGTGACAAATCGTCACACCGCGTTTCGACCAAAGATTCTAGTTATTCTAAAGTTGATGTAATTTTATATGCTCATAATATAAGCATCTTAATTAAATAATTAAATTTATTACAAAAAATATTACCTCAGCCAGGGTGAAGTAATATTTGTCGCAATGATTTTAATTGGGTTAATTATTGACTGGCGAAGTAAATGTTACTTATTCGGTTTTAATTTTTTTACTCTCTTAAATTTCGGAATGTATGAGTGAGAGATATATGTATTATAAAATATATCTCAATAAGGATAAACGCGAGTTATTACAGCGGCTAACAGAAATATTAAGCCCTTAATGATCGTACCTTTTCACGAGTTAATTCTTACTTTATCGTACAAACTGTACCGCCTCTTATCTGCTGCCTCACATTGACGATTGCCGAGGCAATGATAATACGCTGATAAGGATTGGCTGGATGATGGCAGGATTTATCAAGCGTTACGCCATCGCTTTTCAGCTTGGCCGGCATAATTGAGTGCCGAACGTATCACGCGCGACTAAGATCGACCGGGATGTTTTGCAGGTGCTACAACGGCGGTAATTACCGTCGGGCTGGGCGTGTGTACTAATTGCAGGCATTAGATAATCATTGCCTTTAAAGCCCGGGACGTTTTACTTTCATTACTTTCCTTCACGGTCTGCTTGAATAGACCGTGAAAATTACATTCTATTCGCGTGTGCGATTACAGGATATTACAAAGTACAACGTAATAGCAATAATTAGCAATAGGTTTCGCTCGCTGTTACGAAAAGTTATACCGGAAATCGGCGCGCGATGGAGTAACGTTTCCTTAGTGGATGCACACTGTGCATCGTACTTTCCGATAATTGCTTATCTTCGGCATCTTCAGATACACACGGTGCATGTATCCAATTTAGCTCTTAAAAGTCCACTTCTCTCACCCGCCGCGTTGACCTCCTTTCGGTGGTCACGTCGGCCATCTCGGTACGCAGCGTTCACTTCGATTCCACGACGCGCGGAGTTAACATACGAAAATATTTATAATTATCGTTACGAACGCTTCCACGTGACGCTCGTACTCGTCCTTGACACAGCGAGCTACATAATCCGTTTATCTTCTAAACGCGCGACGCATCTCAATGTTATCTTCATTATAAATATTCATCTATAGTGACATAAAATCTCTTCGTTCAGTCACAAATAACGAACACATATGCATATCATCACGCGATTTCTTTGTTGCAGGTAAATCAGATCGAAAGATGCGAGCAGCACCGTCTCTGCTGTCGTTCGTCCTGATCCTTGTATATCACTCGGGATGGACCCACGGGCTCTGCAAACTGGAGAACAGCACTTCAGCGTGGTGCGACCAGCTGGAGGACCTCAAGCACATCGAGACGCAGGGTCTGGAGTCCTTGACCGCTCCGATCGCGCGAGACGTTTTAGTCCCGAGCCTCCTTAACAATCTGACCAGCCTCAGGCATCTCGACCTATCCGACGGCGATCTGAAGAAGATCGAACCAGGAAGCTTTCGAACTTTAAGTAACTTGAAAAGTCTCAATCTCGGCGACAACCGCATCGAGTACCTGGAGCTAGCCTCCCTGGAGGGTCTGACCCATCTGCGAAGTCTGAACCTGCGGAAAAACGCCATCCAGCAACTGCCGCCCGCCCTGGCGCGCCTGAAAAATCTTAAGCATCTGGATATCCACGGTAATCCGCTCGAGTGCAACTGCGCCACTCTCAAAGTCCGCGATCTTATCGCGCAGAGGGGCGTGACGATATCGAAGAAGGTCGTATGCGTGGGCCCCGACAACATGAAGGGTACGTCGCTGATGAAACCGAACGCGGCGATCATCTGCAGTTTCGAGCAGCAGGATCGGGAGATGCAGAACGATCAAGCGGAGGGATCCGGGGAGCCGGATCTAGGATCCGGAGATGTGTTTGACGAGCTCAATGAAGAGGATGAGGAAGAGAACGGTGGGTCGGAGGTCAGTAACAGCACGTCGGAAAAGCCGGGAGAACCGGAAGTCGAGACTCCTTTCCCGACCGTGTTGGTAGATTCCGCAGAATCTTCCGTCTCGAAAGAAATCACTACCGACGCGACAACGAGTTCCCTGCAAGAAGAAGAAATCTTCTTTGACAATGAAGACAAGAAGGAGCAAGCATCCACGACCGAGATGTCGCGGAACAAAGAGGACATCAAGGATGCCCTGTTTTATCCACCCTTGGCCTCCGGCGATGGGGACGAAGGTTCCGGCGAAGGATCCGGCGCCGGTGGAGCGCATTACGACGAGGAGGAGACCGAGAAAGCTGATACCGATGAAGAATCGTCGTCCTTCACGGGAGCTCTATGGAATATGGTTTTTGGTGGCTTAACAGGAACTTCCGCGACTACGTCGAAGACCAGTGACCCAGATCTTGAGGAGGAGGAGTTTATAGATGTGTCGTCCACTAAACTGGCCACCGAGGAGCCAATCGTGTCCAGCAAGAGTCATTCGGTCGAGTCCGACATTAAAATCACTACCGAAGTTACCACGAAGATCGTACCGCCCGATCCGAAAGTCAACGACGTACAAGTGTTGAAACCTCCTAACATGATCGACGATTCTAAATCCGGTAATATCATGGATAGAGATAATAACGAACAAGCGGTATCTTCGCCCAAGCAGTCCAAGAAAGGCATGGGCTCGTACGTCGTTCTCGCCGTCCTGCTCGCCATTGTCGCGGCGCTGATCGGTTTCGCCGCGTACAGGGGTGAGATATGCAGAAAGAGGAAAGCGCCCGACGTAGAGACCGGCACCGAGATGAAGGAGATACAGAAGTCTCTGCTGGAGCACGGCGACAATTCGACTCAGCCAAAGAAGGAGGAGAACACGCCCTACGTAACGGAACTCGAGAGCGATCCTCTCGTGAAGGTCAAATCCGCTGGCGACGACGCGAAGACTGACGAGATCCACGACGATGACCGTCGTCAAACGCAAGAAACACCGCGTCTCAATGGCACTGTCGATCATTCGGAGCCCGTGAAACCGCCCAGGAAGCAACTTTCGCAGGACGAAAATGCAATTTCGCAGGACGACGAGGTGAGAGAGGAGAGACCTCGTATTGACGTGAATTCCTTGAGGAAGAACTTCTTGGAGGATAAAAACCCGCTGCCCTCCACCTCGATGGCGACGACCAACGGACCGACCCCGAATCACAACGCTTCGGAGCCCAATGGGCCACCGCTCAGCCCCGGGGCCCAAAGAGTGAAGATCACCTTGCAGGAGATTCCCGATAGTGTGCCAAAGACGCCCATACTCATCACGCGAACAATGGCTGGTGAGAATCTAGTCAAGACGCCATGAAGCAGTGTCCCGAGGAGAGAATCTACGCGAAATAACGAACGTTATGTCGACCGACCGACGTGCTCGTCTGTCGAACGTAATTGAGAGACAAATATTTGGTGCAGAAATGAGGGAGAAGAGTTCTTTTTCTTTTTACAAATGCGACAGGTCCCAGATGTGATTTATAATAACGCCGTTGTTCCTAGGATTGCACGCAAATTGACTTCTCGCGATGGATTTTCGTGATAAAGAAAGATCAACCGAGTCAAAGACCATACACGCGCGGACAGTGGCTAGGGGACTATTGTTTTCGGCAGGAAGCTGAAAGTGTGCGAAAGGTGACTGAGGAACAGATGTAACCTCGGGCCGCTTCGTTGAACAATCGGACGCACGAAATGCTATATGTATATATTTGCTGAAACTGTATGCCGTGCAGGATGTCCTTTGGCTATCGCGTATTCTTTTTTATTTATGATGACATCATTGTATTCGATTACGTCTTTTAAGGAAACTTCGCGAGATCGTAGATTCTGATCTTCGTGAAACTTTGTATACGTATAAGTAAAATAAATAGATGAATTTAGAAATTACAAGTCAAAAAATGTTAGAATTAACGCACATATATAGTAATTTCTTTATCCATAAAAATAATTATTATTGTAATCTCTTATAAAGTGCTATGAATACATTTAAATTAAAAATACCTTTATTTTACATAAGAGATGCAAAAAAAAAATTTTTTTTTAACATTAATTGATAATTTCTACATTTATCTATTTATTTCACTTATATGAATGCAAAGCTTCTTTAAAATTAGAATTTAAAATCACACTTTATGAAATTTTTTATTAATTTTTAAAGTTAAATTTGCAAAGTCCATCTTTAAAAGAATTAAAATAAAGATCTTCTCTTATTTAATAGCTACACTCGAAGAGCTCCATTGTCAAAATCTTACGACTTTTATCGCTTACAATTCACGAGCTACTCTTATCTCAAATCAACTGTTATTTCCCTCAATTTAATTGAACAAAAAATACGCGATATTTTAGACATCCCGTATCTATGCCATACGCGTAGAGTTCCGCGGATGGAGTAACGTTCCAAGTTAACACCGCAGTACACTAGTCAGTCTTCCTAACGGGCCTCTCGCGTGTCCTGCGAGCGCCAGAGCGAGGACGTCGAGAATTGCGCGGTAGGTATATTCGTTGTCGCGCGAGATCGCATCGCGAGGATCCTCGGATTAATCGAGGATCGATAAAGTGTTCGCCGTACGTCAGGCGTCGATGAGCATTCCAGTTCTGCCATAATTTTTCTACGCACGAACCATCGAGGATTAATACACGCACCGTTTTCGGCCTTACGCCGTCCTTCGATCGAATTACAGATTATTTGCCAACGCGTATCTCGCAGTATTTAGCGCGGCGTTTCACGTGTGACACGTTTGTACGCGGTTTGGCGAAGAGATTTGTAATTCCAATGAGAGGTAGAGTTTGCCAATTACGAATAATGATGACCTTTGGGACAGCTTGTAGTACGGATAGCTATACGGAGTGCGAGCGTTTAATGAACGATTTGACAATATATTGTTAACGTTATAGGACCCATTATTCACGTCAGAGACAATATATATACGTAATATTCTATTATCGCATTATTCTTCTCTTGTAACGGACACGATTCCCTCGCGACTTTAGAGGCACACACACGTTTCAGAAAGGCAGCGACTCGCTATTTTTCATGTGCATTAATGTATTTATTCGTTGCGCACGGCGCAAATAAAGAGACGGACGGAGATTTTTCGTGTATGTGACGACACTCCGTCGCGTGATTATCAGTTAAATGGACACGTCACGTAGCTGTGAGCGGCGGCGTGACAAAGCGCCGCGATGTGTTTTATCATATTATCCACACACTATCGACTATTATTCTTTAGGTATGATTCTTTTAAGTCAAAATGTGTCGAGAATGCTGTTACGGCGTATATGATTTAATTTTTAAGATAAGCGCGGACCCCCGTCAGATCGAAACTTGTCCCAACGATAACGCATTCGTTGGATTTAACTTAGCGATAAGAAAATAAGGAGCTCAGCGAAGATTGTAAGACTTTATTTATATGTTCAGCCTTTGGTCAATAAAAGAGAGTGTTATTTTGTTGATATCATCATTTACTTTTAATCGTGTGCGTCACGGGTAATCTTTGACCTCGCTTTGTTCTCGTCCTCACGAAACACCACGTCACCGACGTACTACACGTGATTTCTTTTATATATTTGTTACATAACTATATCCAACGACGCTCGGCGCCTGAAGAAAGCACAACTTATGTCGACTTACCGAAAAAACAAATAACGCGAGAAAAGAAACAAATAATGAAGAAATGCGAAATATATGTCTCTCATATCAATATCCTATTTATACATATACAAATGTATATTTAATAATCGCTTTGTAAATTTAGATCCTGTGAATTTAAATGAAAATTCATACATCTTAAATTGTTTTATGTTTTTCCATAATAAGCGGCCGATGCCACACAGGTAGCCGATAAATGCGTAAGTGACAATAAAAGAGGCGGTGATGCGGTGAACGGCAATATACACGGATTATAAATTATTAAATTATTAAATCTAGTATATATTTAGCAATACCTAGTAATTCATCACCCTGCATAGTGGGCGGTGTGATGAATTACTGGGTATTGCTAAATATATACTAGATATTTAATAATTTAATAATTCATAATCTATGTACGTTGCCGTTCACCGCCTCTCTTACATATTGTCGCAAATGATACATTAACATGATGGATGATTAGTTTATAACTATAATCGTGATTTTTGAGACTGATAAGAAATTACTGTAATTTAGGATCGAAGCGTCTCCGATACATGCAAACCGGTAATCTGACGTTATTACAGTTCGAATCTCGACGGAGGAGACAGTATTCCAAGAAGATTATATACGCTTGTACTTTTGCTCTTCTTCAGAGTAAACCTTTTACTATTGGCTCGCCGTCTCATTTGTCATTTCCTCGATTACTAATCTTGCCTGGGCAATATATGTGTATTTAACATGGGAGAAAAAAACCGGTTTGACAAGATAAAACCGTCGTGTTATCGCGCAAACTGACGTATGTTATCGCGAGTCCGTACTTACCCTGTTGATTTAGCGTTGATTTAGATCGTACCACTCGGAAACGGACTTTCGTGTTAGCAAAGTCAATTTAGAAATTAAAGAGCCACGTTTTGCGCAATAAGTGCGATGAGAATGCTAAAAATCTACGCTCCTCTCGTTTTCCATATTTTTATTAAATTTTTATTAAAGTACTAAAAAAAGATTTATTATACGCTTTGGTATAAATTTACAATTGAAACAGTTTTAAGATTCGCGTTCCACGAATGATTCTCTATAGCCACCCCTGGGCTCGCGTTTGAGCTCCTTGATGACGATGGATCGGTTGGAATAACTCATCACCTGGACGTCGGAATTTTCGTCGTCGGTGACATACTCGTCCCTGAACACCTGTCTTCTCTTTCGCTTCCTCATCGAGGTGGGAGTCTGCGGCCTCGGCCTGTCTTTGCTACTGCTGGACTCGATCGCCTCGTCCACGGCGCCGTGCCTCCCGGTTCTGCGCGCCGAGGATGTCTTGGGATTCCTGGGATTCGCGTTATGCGGTTGATCCGTGTCGCATATGTTGCCGCTGGAATTATTTCTCTCCCTTCTGATCCGTTCCTGCCGGCGTTCCTCTCGTCTCAGCAGATCGTCCTCGCTCTGTGTCCGTTTCCGAGGTCTCCTCGTTCGTCTCTTCTTCGTCCGTAGATTATCCACGGAACTCATGGCGCGCAAAGTGCCATTTTCGATAGAGATCTCGTTCAAAGCGTCCATAGAACGAGCCATTCTCGGCATCTGGACCGCTTCCTCGTAGCTGGGCGGGCCGACTAATTCTAAAGGATTAATTCTGGTCTCCTCTGGAATCTCGAGTTCGTTTATTTCTTGCTCTAAACGTCGATTCCTGTAAATACAGTCAAATTAGAGTCTTTATTTTATTTCATCGAGCTTTGTGCAGCTAGAAATGCGATGTATTATTTGTAGCGCAATTTAGAGGTTGGAAGATAATTAAAAAATTCTTATGATATTTATTTAAAAGTTTCTGCTAAATTTTAAAAACACGACTACGTCGGTAACGCACTCTCTGATACTTTAAAGAAATGAATAATGTACCAGCTTGCGAAATTGTAATGTAAATCTGTAGTTCGATGGACAGATATCTGTCTTATCTGTTGCAGGTAGGTGCTCGCATCTTCTCTAGCATACATTTTATTAATTATTAATTTTATGTACGTTGAAAAATATTGTAAAAGCAACGCGGGTATTAAATTACAAACGTCAATCCCGTTTAAATAATCATATCATTGAACGTTCACTGACAACACGCCTATCGATTTTACTCAAGCGCCGCACAATGAAATATTTTCAGACACATTTTGCACATGTATACAGAAAATTTAATAATTAATAATTTGAAAAAGCGCCCTCACCTCCTTTGCAAAAGTCGAAATCTCTCTCTCTCTTCTGCTAATTCCATCTGCTGCCTCTGCTCGAAGATTCTTCTCTTTATCTTCAGAGTGTGCTTAATCGACACCACGCTACCACATAGGACGACCAGGATGAGCAAGCTGATCATCACCACCCCCCAAGTTCTGTCTTTGTTGTAATACACGTGAATGTTCCATTCGTCGAAACACGCGGCCTCCCAGGAATAGCCGGAAACGTTTGCCGGGCTCTGGCAGATCAAGGTCGAGCCCACAGTTTTCGGGGGAGGAACGGTTAAGTACTCGTAGGTGGAGTAGAGCTGCGTACAGTCGCATCTCCATGGATTATCGTCTAAATTGACTACGGCCAAGTCTAGACTGTTTTGAAATATGTCGGGATCTATCGCCTCAGTCAAACGATTTCCTACAAGGTAATTAATTAATTAAAACGCAGGCAAAAGATTATATCGAGGTCTATAGAAAATAAAACGAAAGTGATAATTACGGGAAGAAGTAAATTTCAAAATTATTATTTTATCGGTATTTGAACAGTTATTTGGATTTTTAATTAGAAAATTCTGTTTCTTTAACGGCTTATCGTATTGTCGATAATCAAGTTCCATAGAAATCAGATATATCCTTTTTATATTGTTTTCTCAGAAATAACTCGAGGGATGATTAATACCTGACAAGTCGATCTTTTGCAACGACGGTAATCTAGCAAAGCTGTCGTTGTGTAGCTCGACGAGCCTGTTCCTCTGCACATCTAGTATTTTCAACGTCCTCGAATTTAAGCCGCGCGGCAAGGACTGTAGATGATTATCCTTCAAGTTCAGGCTTCTGATTCTGGGCATTTCCTCCAGAGAGTCCGCCCTGAGGTGGCTGATCAGATTGTAGGACAGGTCCAGCGTCGTGGCGAGGGACGACAGATCCGGGAATCGGTGTAGAGAGTTGTAGGAAAGATTCAGGAGCCTGAGATCGATGTTATCCCGGAACGCCAACGTGTGAACCTCCTCGAGACCGTTCGCCGACAGATCCAGCACCTGAAGTTTCACCAGACCTTCGAGCGTACTGTCGTTCAGTCGTTCCAAGCTGTTCGCGTTCAGGTATAGGTGCGTCAGTTGCTTGTTTCTGGCAAAAATACGATCTGGCAGTATACGAATTGTGTTGCGAGAGAGGCGAGCCTGCGTCAACGACGGGAGACCGTGAAGACCGGGTCGGTCGAGGTTACATCTCGATACATCGAGTTTCTTTAGGTTTAAGTGCTGTAGGGTCGAATGCCTGCAAACGAGCAATTTCGTTGGACATGTTATTCGTAAAATTCTTATTAAGGGTTCTTGCTTAATAAAAGCTAGATTACGCGACTTCTTCGATGACTTTCGGTACAAACTAAAATTACAATCGAATAAAGTTTCATTACCGTGTACTGTACACCAACGTAGGATTATTGACCAGTCGTAGCTCTTCCAGTTCTGGAAATCCGCTCAAAGTGTCTGGATAGAGATAATTTAGGACGCAATCAGACATGTCTAACCATCGCAGCGTCTTGCTGACGGGCGTTTGAATGTTCTTCAGCGGATTTCCCGCGAGACTCAGAGTGGTCAGCGCCGACAGTCCATTCAAGGACTCGTTGCCAAGTTCTTTTATATCTGAAACACATAAAGCTTTTATTAGTCTAATGCATACGTATATGTTAATCAATTCTTAGAATTCTGTACATATATTTCTGCGGAAAAAAATAGACAAATTTTCGTATCATTAAATTTACGTGTTAAACAATGTTGCTAAATTAGAATATGCGCATGAATGACGGTCCTTTTTCATATTAATTGTTATTACAACATTAATGTATTTTGTAAATAAATTTGGCGTTTTAGATATCCGTAGAAGTTGCCTTTGAAGAATGCTTTATAAATCCCTGTAATAAATATTTTATACTTGTGACTATCATGATACATACGGCAATAGCCGGCATCCAGTGCCTGAAGCACTTCGCTGGTTAGCCCTTTCAAGTCAGGTAATAGATTCCTTGAGATGTATAGAACTGCCAGGGACGGTAATTGGCTAATGGAAGCAATATCTGCCGTATTTATGATAACGTTGTCCGATAGATCTAGTCTACGAAGGTTTTTTAATTCTTCAAGATTATTCGGCAGGGAAGTGAGCTGATTTTTGGCCAGATTCAGGTACTGCAGCTCGGTCAGCCGGTTAATTTCGTCGGTGATCTCAGTTAAAAGATTGCTTGACAGATCCAGGTGCTCGACCTACCGCAGAAGAAATAAGTTAAGTCAGTAATTAAACGATTTATTACGAATTTGGTGATAATCTAGAAGAATATATTCGTCAAAATTCAGAGGGTACTGTTGAAATGATTAATCATCTGGAGAGCATATCTTCTTCATAATTTTCAAGTAAATTTTTTCCGTTATCGATTAAACTACTATTTTATTTTATTTTACGAGGACGCGATAACATCCAATAAGTCAATTTTTATCTTATATTTAATTATAATGAGATGTATAAAAAGAAACCGGTAAGAAAGGGGGTCATTAGTCATCGCAGATGTACTCACCACATCACTAATATTTTCAGGAAATGTCTGTAACCCTTGCTTCGAACACTCGACGGTCCTAGGTATTTCGGTGAGATGGCACAGGCACCTAGTAGGACAAATGCTCTGACACCTCGCGATTGACAGAATTGTCAGCCACGTGATCAGCGACGGAAGAAACACGCCGCGATGTCTCATCGATTGTTCCTCCATGTTTCTTTCACATCACCGAGGCGAATCGGGTCGAATAATCGCGCGCAGCCCACATTCTCGCGCGATTCAATTTGCCCCCGTTATCGGGACGATATTTGCGGGCGCCCGATCGCGCATTGTCAACGGTCGAAATGTTCGTCAACGTACTTACGGCGGAAAACTGCGAGGCGGACAGAAAGAGTCGCCCAGCCCGAAAATCCTATCGATGACCGAGCGCACCGGTTCTCCGAACCGTGCTAAGAGCACTGAGCTAGTAGTTATCTTTGATAAGTAACGCAGGGTATACGTCGCACGATATCTCCGTAAGATAACCAGACCGCCGTGTCGAGGTGTCGAGCGCGTTATTCCTCGTGCAAAAGAAATGGGGAAAAAAAATGAGAGAGAATCGAACAAAGATAGAGTGGCAAATGCACCTGCAATTACGTGATGGTTTGTGCGTGTAGAAACGCAGCAGGATGCGTGGCATCCGAGACGTCGGTCTATTTTGTTCGTGCCGACAACGAGCCGATCTTGTCGAGTTGAGAGACGCTTCATTTATCACTTTACACTCACGTTTTATATGAATTTATTGTTCAATCAATAATTTCTCAATGGCGGTTTAATATTAATCATATGTCATGGTTAATGTACAATTATTAATACTCGAAGACGTTGTAAACTGAATTTTTACGCGCGTCCGTAACTTCGAGTCAATTTTTCAATATTGGTATTAGCATCGCTAAATTATTGAGACGCGGATATTTTAACGAGCTCCGACGTAGGTCGAAACGAGCGCTCCGTCGAAAATCCGCGGAGAAACAGGTTTTCCGCGGAGGAGAGACATGAATGGAAATCTGAATGAGCAGCGCCGCGGAAAATGTAAGACATTAGATAAATATCTCAAGTATCCCGAAAGCCGATATTGAAGCGGGCATCTCCGCGGTCTAAGCTCCTCTCGGCTGACCCATGCGGATATTTTCCTCTACCTCCCCTCGACGACGCTGTCGCCGCATTACGGTCTTTCTTCATCGTTTCTTTTTTTATCCGACAGGATCGTACCTGCGACTTCTTCTCTCCGACGCAGCGTCCAATGCAGGAAAGTAGTTAGATCAAATGAATTCGTTATATTTATGTGCTATCTCTCCGTGTATATATCGTGTGATTATCAGATACAATATGAATCGTCTGTGACACTTCCGGAATTGATCTCCATAATAAGAAACTATAATATAATATATATGTAATCGTCAAACTATTTAAATGCAAAGGAAAAAGACAATCTTAATTGAAATCTTCAATTGCATATAGTTAAATTCATTATATTAAAAAAAGTCGCGAGAAAGAACGACATTTTTAGTAATCTGAGATTGATAAGACTCGAATGAGATCTTTACTGCAGTAATAAGAGACCAGAGTTGGATAAATTGCCTAGTAAGAAAGATTAATGAAGACTCTTAATGTGGAGCACTTGTTTCGATGTGTCTATGTAATAGAAATAGGTCTGAAGGAGTTAATATCAATCAATGACACAAATTAATTAAAATTAAAACATCTAAATGATTTGGTCGTGCATCCGTGCAGAGAAAGCAAGTAATTCGTAATTATTTGCACGGATCGCGGTGAGAAAGCTCGGCCGAAGGCTCCACCCCTCAGAGAGAGGGATTTAAAAAGACCTTATCCGCGCAGGACAGACTCGTTCTCTTTTTCACACGTCCGGTCGGGCCAATGGCGAGGGCAGGTCACACCCTCGGGAGGGTGCGAGAGGTTTAGCTAGCGCCGGCGCTTAGCCCTGGGCTTATCCGGTGGGGAAGAGGACGTGCTCTACCTGTTGATACTAAACCAACCCCTTCGCCGTGATTTCGCAAATCCGGAGTTTCACCGTCGCACTCGCGGTCACGCCCTTCGGCTCAACAGATATCCGCAAATTTTTCGCGAGCAAGTTTCCTTTACGCGCGATTTTATAGAGTTGTGAAAAATAAATGTCGTGTTTTAGCAAGAGGGTGATATAATTTGCTTTATTCATAAAATTAGATTCGTTGCGAGATCGGAATTTGGAGGATCAAGCTTTCTGGCAATTTGTTGCTTATTCGTCAGAAAGGTAATGCAGTTATCACGAAATATAATGACTGCTTAATTATCCGATGCTTAAACACAATTAAATGACAAATAAATTGTTAACGCATAGTCACGGCCTGATGATAATTGAATTGTCTAACAGCCATATATAAATACAATAATTGAAAATCGATTCCCCGTATATCGATTTCCCGTAATTACGTATTTCATAACAGAATGCCGGGCTCTCCTTTGACTGTATACCTCGCTCTTTAATCTATACAATTGGGTTCGCGATAGCGGTTGTGAATATTCACGCAATATCGAATTCGTGTTAGATGCTGAAACCGCCGCAAAATGAAAATTCCAGCCGCGAGAATGGCTTCGGGATCGATCATCTCGGCGCGACGATTCCTCGCGCTCACCCTTGCGCACCGTACACCAGCAAACCAGGTAGCAGATAGCTATAATTAAAAGTCGATCAGGCCAGGCCTTCGCAGATAAAGAGCCGTCGCCCGCGCGAATGTACAGTACGCGCCAATAACGATCATCTGGATTGATCGCAAGCTCGTAATCGGCAAAATAAATAAGATAACTACGAGTAACAACTAAGTAGTGACTACAGTTTTGTACCAATAAATAGTTGCGCGGCTTATAGTTATATCGAGATAATTAAAAAAACATGATGTGAAATACAAATGTATTAAAAAGGATCAAACAAAGAAACAGAAATTAGAGAGAAAAATTCGACAGAGTCAAATAACGTTCTTTTACATGGCAAAAGCTTGCTTCACGATCTTCAATTCTTGTAAAAAAAAAATTCGTTTTCCACAAACTACTGAATAATTATCATTTTGTTTTGTGAGGACCAGAAGATGACAGCTATCTGTTTTCCCTCTATAATCGTCACGCCCGATAAAATGGTTAAAGTCGTTTACTTACACGAGCTTTCTTCCACCCCCGTCGCTCCGAGCTGTGGCAGTACAACTCATCCCGGTCAACGTTCCTCCGTCGCGAAACGTCTCGCCGGCAGATCGGTCCCTCCGTCACTATTGAGGGCACCTGTACCGGAGAGGATATAATACCGGCGCGCGCTATCTGGAGTATATTTTTAACGCCTTCATTTCCGGCCGCGCTGGGACACCGGAAATAGCGGGACGATACCTCGCGGTGTTTCAGGTATTGATCAGTTCGAGGAGCCGGTGCCACACCACCCGGCCCACCCACCCACCGGCGGGTGAGGGAGGGGGGCTGGCACCGGCTCTGGCAGACTCGAAGCTTCGACCCCCCACACGGTCCCCCGCGTCTCCGCCACCCCCGCCACCGGCGGCGGCGGCGGCGGCGTCCCGCTCTCTGGCGACGCCCCTGTCCGCCACCCCCAACCACCGGCAGCGGCGTAACGTCGAAGACGGATCTTTAGGTATCTCCGCCGTCTGCGCTCGGATCTTCGGACTACGCTCCGGTGGCTCCGAAGCGAACGAAAAGGGGGTTGAGTGGGTGAGGAGCGGATGGCTGCATGGTGGGGCGCGTTTTTAGGGAAGAAGCGAGAGCGACGGAATGAACTTTGTTGCTTTCGCGGGTACACACCCGTCCGCGACACGTATACAGGGGGTGGTGGGTATCGATGGCCGCGTCGATGACCGGAATATGGCTTGCTGGCAGCGAAGTCGCTGGAAGCGGCGAACGATAGAAGGGTTTGGAGAAACACGGAGAAATGGATTTGATTTAAAGTTTTCAGATATGAGTTGAAAAAAAAAAATGTATTATTGGCAAGTCATACTAATTAAAATCGAAAAGACATGTATTGAGATTTACGTGTGTAATTTGCATATACATTAAAAATTTTAAATTAATATTCCTATTTTAGGAATGTTATAAGTTTGACAGTGATTAAATAATAACTAAACTTAAATCATTTTCTAATTTTTTAGCAATTACGTGTCTTTAGGTTTAATTAAAATAGCGTGATATCTTTTTAACGTACAATTAGAGAGAAGTTTATTATCGGTAAAACTTAAAATATGCTGTACGTGTTTATTTGCACTTTGTGCGTATTACGAGAATAATTCCCACAAAATACCCTTTCGCGTATTGTTCTATTCTGCGACACAGGTGGACGAGGACATGTGGAGAGCATCGTGCGCACGGGGATTCGCGATTTCCAAGTGATTTTATTTTCCCTAAACTCGTCTCCCGCCTTTCGCGGCAGTCCTTAAGCCGGGTTATAAATAACGGCTTATCTTTTGTCGGCTTCAACGCCGCCGCGATCCCGCACAAAGCCAAACTCCACCCCTCCTGTGCGAGAGCCCTCTCCGCCACCTTTTATGCCTCGTAAGGGGTCGCGCGCGCGAGAAGACGCCTCGTGAAACGTGCACTCGTAATTGCTTTGGCGTGTCCCTAAATCAAATCCCGCGGTTTTTTCCGCATTGGAGAACACCTACGTGTGTTTTGCGGAGAAATAAAGCCGCGGTCACAATAAACTTTCACCTCTAATAACGCGTCGAGGCAAATCAATGTTCGAAAATCGTTCAACCATTGTTAAAGCATTTTGACTAATTGTAAGTATATTCTTGGTGTTCCGTGCAATTTCTAAAAGTGTGTGGAAATAATTAATATTTCATTTTTATCTCGTGTTACTGTTACTAATTATTATACCTATTTATATATATTTAAAAAAAATACAATTTTACTACAGCAATTTATAAATTGTTATCTCGTTATCTGCCCGCCTATCTCAACGTGATACCGCGAAGGATTGATCAAGAACAGTCCGTTGCTCTTACGTGATATTTATTGCGCGATATGATTCTGCTGAAAGTAGTAGTATACGTTGCGATTCAGATTCGGCGCCTGTAAGTAGTCAGACCTTTATGGCGCCGCGTACTTAGACTTGATAAGCATGATTAAACGCTAACTTATTCAAAAGTAGTTTCATATATAAAGCTGGTGATTTCGAGTAATTAGCGACGAAATACCGCGCGTTACGTGCTCGGCTCCTATTAAACACGACTACGTCAGCGCGCGTTTTACGCGGAAAATCAGCGCGATCCCACGGCACAGACATTTATCGAGTTGTCGTTTAAGCGGGTTGTTGGTTGACGGCTGTGCGCGGTGTGGAAGTAGCTTAAGTAGCTGGATTTCTCGCTGATATTTGAATGGATGTCGGCTATTTGTGGTTCACTGCGTCCTTAAC